TATTGTTTTTTTTTTTTTTTTTTTAAAAGGTCCTCGAGGTCATGTCATACGGTGCTAAGAATATCGTGAGAAGAATCCCAAAACGAAAAACATTTTGCATAATTAAAAAGTGCTCATTCAATTCATTCAGTCATGTTTGACAATCATTAAAGAATCACTAAACAGCTGCCATGAAAACACACTTCTTGTATGATAAACTTATCTTCATTAAATTCTTAATTTTCTATTATAAAAAACTAAATGGGGGCAGAAGTCTGGAAAGGAAATTATTTTTTCCATACTTTTCCAAACCGCGTAGGAACCCTGGTATAGTGTCGTATTTCCAACTGAAACAAAATATTGAGTAGAGGGTGGGATTTTATTTTTGCGCTCCTCCCCTTACCTCTCACTCGCATCAAACTAACAGTTGGAGGGGCGTGGTTAAGCAAATTCTGCCTAAGCCATGGCCCAAGACGTCAGAGAAGGAATGTCATTCCGGAACGGAAGCAAATGATCAGATTTTGATTACCAAGACAATTTTTTTTTTTTTTTTTAGAGGATTAAAGGGTTAGTTCACCCAAAAATGAAAATGACCCCATGTTTTACTTACCCTCAAGCCATCCTAGATGTATATGAATTTCTTCTTTCAGACGAATACAATCGGAGTTATATAAAAAAAAAAACATCCTGGCTCTTCCATGCTTTATAATGGGAGTGGATGGTAGCCCAAAATTTCAAGTCCATAAAATTGAACCAATCCATTATAAAAGAAGTCCACACGGCTCCGGGGGGGGCTAATAAAGGCCTTCTGAAGCGACGCAATGCGTTTGTGCAAGAAAAATATCCATATTTACAACTTTATAAATCTTAATCTCTAGCTTCCGCTAACTATAATACGTGCGTTCACGAGAGAGTGGCATCCAGCGGATGACGTAACGTGGTGACAAGCACGGAAGTGACGAACGTGGAAGCGCAGGGGAGAGAGCAAAACAAAACACCGGTCACGAATTAGTAGTACAAAACGAGGATTTGTAAAGAAAAATTTCGGAGGATTTCAATATAAGCCAAGAGGACACTGGTTTTCTTTGCTGTAAACAAAACTTGTTTCTCACGACACTAGCATATTCTCAACGGAGTTTACGCTACGCCTACGTCATCCGCTGGAAGCCACTCTCTTGTGAACGCGCATAAGACAGCTAGCGGAAGCTAGAGATTAAGGTTTATAAAGTTGTCCCGCAGGTGATAGAGATTTACCGCTGATTACAGAAACGGCTTTCTGACAAGATGCGCGTTAAATATCGCATGCGATTTATCGTGCAGCCCTACTTAAGACACAATGTGCACTAACAAAATAAATATTGTAAATTTTGATTTCATGCGGACTTTAATTACAAAAGTCAAAGAGAGGATAGTCGGCAGAAAATAATAAAAACAAATTTACTGGATCTGGCAAAAAAGAAATAAAACAATTAAATATATAAAAAACAGGAAAACTTCTATTTATAAAATGTAATAAGAATAAAAAACAAAAAGGAAAAAATATTTATAAGGGGAAAAAAACTAATAAAAACAAGTTTAATTGTGTAAAGGGAATAAAATAAGAGGATTAATCTTCGTCTGAAAGAAGAAAGTCATATACATCTAGGATGGCTTGAGGGCAAGTAAAACATGGGGTAATTTTCATTTTTGGGTGAACTAACCGTTTAACTTGCACGGATTAACTGTTCACTTTAAGACTAGGGCTGCACCATAAATCGCATGCGATATTTAACGCGCATCTTGTCAGAAAGCCGGTTCTGTAATCAGCGGTAAATCTCCAT